CCCTTCCTCCCTCTGCTCTTTGAGGGACACTTACCGGCGCCTGGCGACACAATGTTTTATTTAGGAGGGCTGGAAATGTGCAGCTCTCAGGTTAAAATGTACCGCAACCCTCTGGTTAAACCTCAGCAATACATCACTGTGTGTGTGCAGACGCAGACGCGAAGAAGCAAAACAGACGATTGCATTTCCATTACAGATACACGCTCTGTTTTTCTCCTGCTCCTGAAACCTTACAAAAGGAAAGAAAATGTATAGAAAAGGCAGTTTGTCTGTGATTTACTTTGGGATGGGTTTTGTTTCCATCCGCATCAAATGGATAAGCATCCTGAAGGTTGTTACGGTCAGCAGAAACCCAGTTGATCGGATTATGAACGCGTCTTGAAATCAAATCCTACAATGGATTTAAAGACGACACTAAAAAGATGGAAAAAAAAGAGGACCACAAAGTCACTTTTCACGTGACCGATGCCTCGGTTCACTGAAGTGGGACGATTCCAGGAAGGCATGGGGAGAGAAACTAAGTCCGACCCGCCAGATAAGAGTAGCGGTGGGCATCGGACCCCCTCAATGGAAGAGATAAGAGACAGACAGTCACAGCAATGGCCGGCCACATAATACACAAGCCCACCTCCAGCCGTCTAAATCTCCCATCAGCACCAGTCCCCACCGGCCCCCCCTGTCACCACTAATGCGCCTTTTCCTGCAGGACGGAGCCCCAGATGCAGTAAGGTTATCTGGGGCTTTGCACGACTTCTCGGAATTGGCTAGTTCACCTTTCGTTCAGTCCAGATGACAGTAGCTGATAGAGTTGGGTGGGGGCGAATGGGGAGGGAGGGGGGCGATTGTTGGTCGCACTGCGCATCTTCGTTCGACATCTTCGATCTTCGTCAACAGCTGATTGCTATTGTTAAATTTAGGCTTGTGGACACAAACTAAAAGACAATTTCCAAAGGGAAATTATTTCACAGGCCGTCCCCGTCTCTTGCTAGATTACATTCCCAACTGCGTTCTCAAAAAGTTAGGCAGTTTGAAATAGTTTGAAACATGTGCTGAACGTTGTAAATGCTATAAATTCAAACAAAACTTTGGAAACATTTGGTACAAATGTCACGCAAACGTAATCCACAGAAAAATTAATTTGCACTCGAAACGTAGATCAAAAGGTTAGTGGATACTTATCGTACTCCTCTCTAGTCCACGGTGACGTCACAGCCAAAAGTACACCAACAAAACATGCCTCTGATTGATCATCCCCACAGAAAATTCCACATTCTAACCAGCAAGTCATTTTGTAATCAGCACATTAAACGGCGCCATTGTCTCATCCTGGCAATGCCCCCCCCGTCCCCGCTGTTCGAAAACGGGCGGACATGAAGCTGGTTGGGGGAAGGTGTAGGGGGCCGAGAGACGATGCCCCCAAACTACTTTGGTTACACAAACTTTGTTTTCGGCCTGGGTGCGTCAGAGCCCTCTCCCTCCCCGTCTGCCATCTGCTGCTCAAGAATCTGTTTCAGTCGATGAGCCAAGCCCAGCCTTTATTGGTCCTAATGGCACTATCAGCTGAGCCGCCAAACCCAATTACCTTTTAAAAAGGGAGGCCACCCCAGCTAATCATAGCTGCCTAACCTGATTTGCCTGTGATGAAGAGACGGGATAAAGAGCAGTTAATGGAGGGAGAATGATCTCACAAATACAAAAAACTCAATTCATTTCTCCGGGAGAGCAATCTGTCCGATTCAGCGGTAATGGAGTGGAGATTCATTAGTCCTCGGGCCTTAGTAGCAGCACCGTTTCCTTATCAACTGGATGACAAAGGAACATTCAGGCTGCTGGTCTTGTAGCACTCATGTCGTTGGGAGAGACGAATGGACATCACAATGCGATGGTGCTGAAGACTTCAAATCCTTGTAGTGTCAAAGGCAAGTAGTGCTTGATTTGTCCTTTTCAGGCAAAAACGCTCCAAATGGCCAAGACAAGACTTGATTACAAGACTGTTTCCCAAACATGTGCAACATTATACAGATTGTATTGTTCTGTAAGCCATGTTTTTATTACATTGAACCAGTGTTTGGCTAAAGTGAGTGATCTCAACTGTGTATCCAGCCACGGGAGATTACTGCCTTTGCGACAAAACATCCCCTGTCTGTTTGCCTCATTTGATCGATGTCCACAGTGTCTCTTAAAAAGAATCAGAGCTCTCAAAGGTCTCATCGTTCAGCATCCGGGCCGAAAACTTGGCGCGGGATGTCACCAGAAAGACATCCGACATCCGCTCTGAGCTCCAGCAGTCTCATTCACACGCACGTCTCCCCTCCATGATGTAAGTCGCACGCATGAATGACCAATTGATGACCAGGAATGTCGTGCGGGGCATGAGTCACCCGAGAGCACGAGGGCGAAGGACAAGGATGACCCCCGACCCCGCAAACCCCGCGAAGTCCACACGCCGCCTAGATATGATCCAGAGGACGTCTAGATGGGGCATAGGGCCACAGCCAGGGTTTGCAGACGGACATTAGGCCAAAGCCAGAGTTAAAATCCTATTAGTTTGAGTTGGGAATCGGATTATCGTCGTTGAGAATCACTCGTCTGGCAACTAGTGTCTAATTTACGCCAATCAACGGCAATTATTGAGGGGAAGGGAGCCCCTATTAGAGAGCCTCATCCACTTAGTCTAATGAATGGGGAAGATTCAATCTCGGCTGTGGAGACGCATCGGAGAGCTGCAGCTGAACGCGACTGCACCAGCAGGCTAAAGAAGAGCCGCTGTTATTTATCAATGCTGGGGGGCTGTCAGACTCAACGTGCGTTAGCCACGGGGCGCTGGGCTCTGGTTTCTGATCGTCTGGGGGCACTTTACCGGGCAGTGTCCAGTAAAGCGGTTAGTCGCAGCTCTCTGCAGCCCATTATGCGTAGCCCGTATTCTGACGGGCCCGAGGCTTGAAGATTAGCCGGCGTCCAATAAAGTGATGATGTGGGATACAGTCAACGTGCATATTACCCAGCAATCATCACTGCATGTCTGTATGATCATAGTAGAAAAAAGGAAATGAAATAAAGTGAAAACATTCTTTGGAGGTTGGTTATAGTGTGTACAGTTCATGTAGAATAGCCAAAAACAAGACAAGATAGGTCTGCATTGTCTAAAGAAGGTTCAGCTAATGGTACCACCATGATATCATTTGGATTTCACTGAAAGGCCCTTTAGATATTGGCATTGACTTCAGTTTCTTGTCCATTGCTACACTGCCCTCTACTGTCAAAAAATCTAAATACGATGTGAATACAGCAGGAAGTTTGACTATACAAAAAATTGTATATTTCAGTATTATACAAAGGCATGAAAGGGATATTGGAACGTCTTAAACATTGTTAAATTATGTTTAAGAAAGCCAGTTATAGGTATATCGACCAGAATTGCTGCCCTGTGTGTGGAAGCGGAAATAAGCTTGGAAGGCTGATATCTCAATACACATCATGAGTGTGCATTCATGTGTGTTTGTGGGTATCTCAAAATGACATCATATCCTGTGTGACCTCATACCTGTGACCTCTTCTGGTGCTACTCTATCTTTTTTTTTTTTGCAACATGCCTGGTTTCAGGCTTCAATGTTTCTTGAGTTTGATGGTGATGGTGGAGTCCTGACAATTTCACTTGGGTGGAGGGGGGGGGAAATTCCCCTGCGACTAATGGCTTGCTGTTGGGGTTTAAGGTTTTCCAAATTTTGTGGGAGGCTGCAAATGTGCACCAAGTTATTAATAACAGCCAATATTTCCAGAGTTGCGGGTTTCAATTCCGATTGAGGCTGTTGCCGTCTTTCCATGCTGAACACACAACCCCACAATAGATTGATACTCTTTTTGACCTTTTTTCCGCCTTAATCATTTTTATTTAAAGCACAAGCATACATTCATTTAACTTTACACCTGTTTACTTCTTGTTTTGCAACACTCTCTCCTCCAGCTTCATCATCAGGAACTCGGGGTCGAGGTTAAGGTCGAGACTCAACCTTTCCTCAGTCTCATGCTGCTTATGGGCAGACCAAGAGAAGGAGGGAGCATGCACACTCATCTCAGACCACGTCCTTTCCCTTTTCATGCGTGACTGGTGAGAAAGTCAGTTCAGAATTTGTCCCTTTACAATCTGCGGGGGCGTAGTGTCGTAATTGTTCCTACGGGGACCTTCACTCTTGCTGGCTGTGGGCTGCTTGTTCCAAACACTGACGCCGGTGTCCTATCGTAACAACCCCTTCTCATACAAAAGTTTCATTTCTGCCAGTTCCTGACCACACGGACCGTCAAGCCCCTAACCACAGCCAGCCACCCCCTCGAATCCACTGCTCAGCACACCGTGGTAGAGACAACCAGGCACCGATTAAACTGTTCAAGGTCAGAAACACTGAATCAAAGATTCTTAACTTAAGACAAATCATATTTATTTGCCATCAAAGATGCAATTCTCATTTCACTGCTTCGCTCTTTGGCAGAAAATACTGCTGTTTATTCATCTAAGTTGTGGAAAGCGAAACACAGTCATCTTCAGCTGGGTCAGGCGTTTGTTGTTGTAACAGAAAATTAGGCCAAGTACCTGCCTCCTCGTTTTACCGTTGTCTTTTCTATAAATAGCGAATTGGGAGAGTGTAAAAACCCCTCAGCGTTTGTATCAGAATGAGGTGACTAAAGTATTCGAAGTGATCCGCATGAAGGGAAATCCCTAAACTATAGTTGCTGGGACGTAAAGAGCTCCACTGAAGGTCTTTAAGATGAGTTAATTTAGTCAATAAAAGGGAGCCCCTTTTCAATGCCTCCCACTTCAATGTTCCACTTATTACTCTGAGCTGCATTGGAACAAAACCCAAACACACCTCAGGCCTTACAAGTGCTGACAATGCTGATACTCAATCATTTTTTATAAGCTCATGGTAGAGGATGTTAATATGCGAGGCTCTGAACTCTCTCCCCATCAGCATCCAACGAAAGCACCATCGGGAAAGGAACGCGTGGCGCTGCAGTCCGTCCTCCCGCGCAGACGGTCTCTGCAGGCGCGCCAGACACGCGCACGCGCCCCAGACACGCGCCCGGGGGTCCACGCGAGCCGCGTGCGAACTGTTCAGTCATCTAACTTATAGCAGCAGTTTCGAACCAGGCGAGTTGGGACCATTTATTTAGAACATTGGGGTGTGACGTCTGCTTCTATTTAAGTTCACTTAGATTTTAACTTCAACTTGACGTCAGGCAACATGCGTGACTTTTTTAATTTTTTAGCAGGTTATAGAAAGAGTGATATTAATAGCTATAGCTAACGCTAGTGGGCCTGATACGCAATTAGACGAAAGGTAACTAGCTAACAGCCAACAATGAAGCTAGCTATGAGGCACGTTAGCCAGCTAACAGCTAACAATGAAGCTAGCTATGAAGCAAGTTAGCCAGCTAACAGCTAACAATGAAGCAAGTTAGCCAGCTAACAGCTAACAATGAAGCAAGTTAGCTAGCTAACGTTAGCAAGTACACATTGACGTCATGATAGAAAACTCTCAACTTGTAGCGATGTAACGTTAACTACTCCGTGTGTATTTGCGGATAATGGTGATTCTGTTGTATGATATTCCGCCATATGTTTTGATGTAACGCTAGAATGTCTATTGACGTTCCACCACTTGTTAACATACGCGGTCACACTCGTCGCCCTTGAACCTTTTTGAAACCCTAGCAAAGATGTCATTATCAGTATTTATTTGGGTTCACTTTGTGGTCAGTTATAGAGTTTAGGATTCACCTTCTTCCCACAGTAATCGTCAAAGCCTACAGGATGTCTCATCGAAGTTCCAGAGGAACAGCTTTCTCTGAAATGTTCATGAAGAACGATCCATCTCGACCGGCTGACTCTCACAGAGATCCATCGACCTTGAGTTCTCCCACCAAAGACCAGTTCTCCCATCAAGGGAAAAAAACGTTTAAACGTGGTGAGTTTGCTTGAATGCTGCTCCGCAGCTTCTAATAATAAATGCAGATGATATCCCCCCAAAGGTCAATTATCTGCTCAGGTGCGCCTTATTAATCTTTCATTTCTACACTTTTTCTTGTTCCGCTAACTAAGGCTATGCTTCCAAGCCACCAGTTTCATCCAAAGTTCTGATTGACAAATACACTGAAGGCGAGTTGGACGCTGTGTCTTTGGTCCATCAGCTCAGCAGCATTTTGGAGTTCCACCTGGAAATGAAGGAGACGGTGACCACAGGTGCAGTAAAGTTTACAAGGGAAATTCCAATTAACTGCGGTGCACTGTTGGTAATGGTCCAGCAAATGCCTGTTGGTTTATTATTTATTACTTATTACTAATCTTGGTCTTGTGATTCCCTCGTCTGTCAATGAGTAATTCATTATTAAAGTAATTTGATTTAGAACAGCGGCAAACTATTTTCTTTATTATTCATTCATTTAATTTAACTTCCCCGTTATCTTAAGCCCACGACGTGTGTACAACACTGTAAACCAAAGATGTTCAGTTTCCTATCATAAAAGACAACAAAAAACATCTGTAGATTAGTTCATGTATGCAGTTTCAACCTATTGTCTTCTCAGGCAACCTACCAGGACTTTATTTTGCATTTTGTGTGGTCATTGATGGGGTCGAGTACAAGACCGGCATCGGCATAACGAAGAAGGAAGCTCGCCAGAAAGCAGCGCAGCTCGCTCTGCTGGACTTCCTGCCCACCCTTGAAAGCCCAAAGTTTTTACTCCCTGAAGCATCAGGTTCGGAAACTGCACAATATGTTTTCACAACGTAGATAATATAAATGAAAAGGGACCTGTAAACCATTTCTTTTAATGCATACAAATACTGTATTTTATGTCCTTATTATTTTAATTGTTTCACTGAAGAAAAAAACAATCTAGGTGACTATAACTAAGAAATATAATTTTGTATTTGTGATGGTTTACACTGACTTAAGACCGCTGTTGTCAGCATACAATTCTGTTGACTGTGTATTTTATCTGCTATAATCAAATAACAAAGGGATTGACGGTGGCGCATGGGTAGAGAGGGTGCGCCCGGGCAAAAACGTAAAAGCCATGGGTTAAAAATGCAATGTAAGTCGCTTTGGATAAAAGCGTCAGCTAAATGACCTGTAATGTAATAATCTTTGTCCGCCAGCACGGATCATTAATGATCAGCATTGATGAGTGCAAAAAAATTCAGGGATTTCTGAAAGTTACTCTTGGGACTCGGATGATAAAATCTAATAAGTGTACCGCTGCTGCTCTGGTCTTCATTCATGTCCACGCCTGATCTTCTCTCCAGATGTCCCTCCTCCACTGCCAGTAAAAGAGAAGCTCTCCATTTCTGACATGCATGGTAATTTAGAATATTTATAAGACCCTCTTTTTTGAATCTGTCATTAGCGAGATGGCAAATCTCTCTCTCTTCTTTCTTTTTCAGAAAAGACCTGTTCTGTCAACCTCCAGATTTCAAACGCTGTCCGAGATCAGCTCACTAAACAGATGAACAGCCACCCGGAGTTCTCGCCTTGTGCAGGAACCACAGCGGCGTTCATTATTCAGACCTGTAAGTGAGCTCTCACAGTTTCCTGGTCCGTTTTTAAAGATAAGCATATTGCTAACTTTCAGTCAACTTCAATTAGCATGTAAATATTTTACTGGTGATTTTTTTTTTTTTTCGCTGGATAATTTGAATTTCGCATGGTAACAAAGGCAGTCTACACTGTGTCGACTTGCACGTATAATAAATATGATGCCGCATACTGAGTAAAGGTTGTTCCATGCGTTTCCTCCTGCACGTATTCTTCTCTCTCCAGCCAGCGGTTGCGAGGCGGTCGCTCTGGGCACAGGCAACTTTAATGCCAAAGAGAGCGCTTCGACGGGTGGGAGAATCGTGCACGACTCCCACGCGCTGGTTAGTGCAAGGAGGTCCCTGATGAGGTAAGCTGATGCAGCCCATGTGGTCAACACACAGACTTCTGTTCTGATGCAAGTGCTCTTATTGATACATATAGGTCCTATCGGATTCTGAAATTGCCTTGTTGTTGTTGTTTATAACAACAACGATGTTTCTGACGCTGTACTTCTAGGTTTCTGTACCGGCACCTGCTGATGTTCTTCAGCAAAACCGCCAATCTGACCGAGAAGTCCGTCTTTGAGCAGAGCGGCAGCGGCCTCCTCAGCCTGAAGAGCGGCATCACGCTCCACCTCTATGTGAACCAACTGCCGAAGGGCGCCGCTCAGATCCCGTCCCAGCTGTGAGTGTGTGATTGTTGGCCTCATGGCATTGGTAGCTTCATGGTTGCCAGTAGGTGAAAGGTCATAACACCCAATTGTTTTGGAGTTGTCGTTTACTCGACCTCTTATGACTTTGCGTGTCTGTAGTTGGGTCTGTTTTCCTCAGCTCTGTGCTCTGTTCATAGGCGCCTCAACCCGCTCTCCATCTCGGCGTGGCAATTCAACAACGAGATCAGCCTACACCTGTCGGTGGAGGGAAAGGTGCTTGTCCTGTTCCTTTCTCGCCTCTGGGGGCTGTTGCTCTCATAATGTATGCAACCAAAATGAAGTTGTATATTGCGTGATTACAAATTGATTTTCTTGTTGAAGGTGTTCTCGGTTTTCTCGTCGACCTTTGATCACTCCGCCTCCAAGGTGGTCAGCATGTCCGCCACGGACAAACTCACCCAGTGGCAGGTGCTCGGGTTCCAGGGGGCCTTGCTCAGCCACTTCATCGAGCCCGTCTATGTCCATAGCATCCTCGTTGGTAGGTAAGGTCCTAATGGGACAACTTTAATTCTACTTGTTGCCGAGACGCTTCGGCAACAAGTAGAAATGGAACCGATGCATCACTCCATGGAGGGCGTGGGGTCAAACAATAACAATAGATCTTAATTTGTGAAAAAGCAGCAGTTCCAATATATTGTAAACGTCTGAAATGTTGCAAAGCCACACGATTGTAGCATTAAATCGTGTGTTAACTTGAGTGTACTGCTGAAACCTCATGTCATTTAACTCAAACCACTTTTATTGCGTGTCTTCTGTAATGAGAACATTGATGTGTCCTGTACACCTTTTTATTAAAGAGCATTAGTACATTTACAAAACAGAATATGAAAAACGTCTCGTAAAATGGACTTTTTCAAATTTATTCTTGAATTTCCAGTTAATGTTTTAAGTAAAACATTGACACAATCCCCAAGTGAAAGAAGAACGAAGCGATTGAGCTAACCTTTGAAATGTCACAGGCAACGTCGGCTGCAGTGACGTCCGTGGCTTGAAGATGTCCGTGAGCCAGCGCGTGGAGGGCATCACCTCCCAGCTGCCCATGTTCTACTGCATGATGACGCCCCACATCAGCCTGGTTCCCGCCGTGGCCTCCAACACCTCCGACAGGGGCCAGTTCACCCTCGGTATCAACTGGAGCGAAGGAGACAGCTCCCTGGAGGTGGTCGACGGCCTGGCGGGAAGGGCCGTTGAGCAGTAAGGATCACTGTAGAAAGTTCGGGACGGGAGTCAAACCGTAGGTTACTAGGGGCGACAGGTTCCCCAGCCTGCTTCTTTACAGCGACTCTCCTGTTGCAGGTCTCCCTTTAAGAGCAGCCCTTCTCTGGCCAGCCGCCTCTGCAAAGCGGCGATGCTGCACCGCTTCAAGTTGGTGGCCAAAGAGGCCCGGAGGCTGGACCTGCTGGCCACGAGCTCCTACAGAGAAGCCAAGGTAGGTTCAGCCCCCCCCCCCCCGCAACCCCTCTCCCCTCAACCACTGTATAACGTTTACCTAAAGCATCACTCACAATCTACCATCAATGCAGGAAATGACACATTTCAAAATTGAATCTGCAGTTTTCATTTTACGAACTCGACTCACCCACCCTCGCACCCAAATTCACCGTTTCACATCTAAAATGTATTTTGTGAAGTTGCATATTTGCTTCTGGAAGAGCTGTCTGTAAGAACCTCCGTGACGCATCCTCAATTGCAATTTTTCTTTTCACTGAAGCGG